TTGCCCAGAATGCTCATGTGGTCCCTGAGGTTTATATAGAACGGGCTGTCTTTCAGGGTCCCTCAGCTGTGGAGTAAAGTGGGGTATTCACATCAAGACTCCATATGCCCTGGGCAGCTTTCTTGAGCCTTGGAGGACCCACTTGCAATGGACCCAAGACTTCTTCTGTCTCTTGCTGACTAAGAAATAAACCTGTTTTTATAACTTGTGCATGAATGTGTTCTGTCTCACTGGATTCAGACAAATAGATAACCAGTGCATTGTGGATTTACACCATACCCCAGGATGCAGTGGGCATAAGTTTATATGGACTCTTGTCTCTGGTGGTTGGCATAGTGATGATCATTGCTATTCTCCACGGAGTGAGAGTCTCCTTTGGGGACTGGTGGTTAGTGAACCTGCTTTACAACTGGCCTTCCAAAGAACAGTGCCTAAAATATGTCAGTTTTACAATAAACTGTTTCAAGCTCACATTGAATGCATGTCTTTTAGGGCAGAGCATGTAAAAATACTCAAGCTGTAGGAAGAAATATTAGACATTTTCTACTTACGTTTAGTCGTGAACCTCATCCTTTTGTTTACTTCAGTGTATTTTAACATGTAGATAGGACTGTCTTGTATCATACTTGTATATGACTTTCAAATGGTGGCTCTAGAGGGCTCACTCACTATTGGAGGGTCATCTCTCCTGCCACATCTCTTTCTGACCCAACTACTCTGGCTTCCATGGGCATTCTGCTTCTCTGCCATATGAGGATCAGTCCAGTACCAGAGTCAGTGCCAGGTCACTCTGTCTTCCAGTTTGTCTTCTTTAACCAGGTCTGATTGCTTTTTGTTGTGATACGTGGCTCTCTAAATTGGCAAAATCATCTAAGTGGAAAATGCCTACTTATTCTGCCCCTAGTTTGATTAGTAAGGGACAACTTCTATGGCGCATACTGTTCTATGCATTTTTCTCTTGATGATTGCAAACACACACACACACACACACACACACACACACACACACATGCGCACCCCTCTCAACCTTTATCCATCATATCTTCCTGGTTTTAAGCCCTCACACTCTCTCTTTCCTCTAAACCCTTCCTGATGCAAATTATAAAGACATTTGCAAATAACTAGAAAATTACAGTTACACAGCAAAAGAAAAAATCAAAATTGTCTATGGTAATAGGTGTGCTCCAAGAAAGTTACATATAGATACAACTTTAAAAAATTGAATTTTATATATATATACATATATACATATATATATGTATATATATAATCTCAAGGGAGCTTGTTCTTTAAAGTTATTTTCAGATACATGTTTTAACAAAACAAAGAATCCTTTTCACATAAATGACCATTCTCCGCTGAATTTTATTATATGAGGTTTGCCTGAGTTGAGGTATATCTTGACTAGGCAGTAAAACTTTCAATCTCAGCCGGGCTCCGTGGCTCAGCCTGTAATCCCGTGCCTTGAGAGGCTGAGGTGAGTGGGTTGCCTGAGCCCGCGGGTTCGAGACCTGCCCGGGCAACTTGGCGAGACCTCATCTCTACAATAAATCAAAAACTTAGCCGGGTGTGGTAGTGCGTGCCTGTAGTTCCAGCTACTCGGAAGGCTGAGGCGGAAGGATCGCCGGAGCCCAGCGGGTCGAGGCTGCGGTGGCCGGGAGTGGCCACTGCACTCCAGTCTGGGCGACAGAGTGAGACTCCAACTCAAAACAACAACAACAGCAACAACAACTTTCAATCTCATTTCTTTTAACAGGAAATACAAAAAGTATTTGAGGGCTAAATATGTTCAGATACATCTCCAAAAGTTTTATATAAATTTTCAACAGAATGCCAAGGCTCACTGGGCATTATCTTGATGGCTTTGAGAGAGCATTTGTGACCTTTTGTTAAGGTTTTGCTTTATACTCTAAAGTCATTAGCTGGGTCATCTCTAACAGGGATTTCCTATCTTGATTAATAGCATCTCTATTTAACCAGTTGTTTAATCTGGAAATATTAGTGATCTAGCAATATCAAACCCTCCTTCCTTATAATTCATACCTAATTAGTTATCCAATCTTGGAGATGGTATGTTTATAATGATTTTTAATTTTCTGCCTCCCTCTTTATTCCAACTGACACTTGCCCTAATTAAAGCCATATGGCCTTTCTGGTCCATAGCAATAATGCCGAAGTGGTCTCTCTACCACTAGTCCTCCTGTTCTTCAAACCTTCCTTTCTCTCTTCACACCATTGTCAATAATATCTACTATGTTATGCATGTATTTTGTTATTCCTATTGAAATAAATCAATGTCTGACTCTTAGTTGCTATAGAAAAACCTTCAGATTTCTCGGAGTGCCACTTGGGTACCTTCCCAATTATTCCTATGAAGCCTGGACTCTCCTCTGTTCCTGGTCCCATGTTTCTGTCCACAGGCCCATTCACTTTCCCACACTTCTGTGTCTTCTCCTTCCTCTATCTGGACTCCCTTTCCTCCAACTGTTGGCCTAGTGAAATCTTCTAAGAACTGGTCCAAATTCTGGTTTTTTTGCAAAGACTTCTTCATAGCTCTGCTTTTTTGGCACTTCTGTATTTCTTTTTCAGATCTCTATGACAACACAATAAACCAAATTGCAAGACAGTATGTGTCTGTTTATTTTCTCAAAGCATAAAGTCTTCGAAGACAAAGCTTTGCTGTTTTAAGAGTTAAATGTCCATGTTCCTTATAAAGTCAATTCACTGATCATGGACATTAAATAAAACTTGATTCTATTATTAACCGTTTAATTTATAGCTCTTAAATGCAGAGACATTTCCTTTTTTTTCAGAGACATTTCTTATCAAGACATAATCTATAGCTTTTCAAAGGCACTTTCTGGAGTATTAATATTTACCTAATTTGCTATTTAATGCTGTAGTTTGATGTAAATTTAAAACAGCACTCTTCTAGGCCTCTGTCTCTATAACCACATGATCTGGATGTTAAATTTGATCCAACAAAATTTACATATGCATCAAAATTTGAATCATCTGCCAATTTTCTTTCTTTCTCTTTTTTTTCTTTCTTTCCTCCCTTCTCTCCCTCCTTCCTTCCTTCCTTCCCTCCTTCCTTCCCTCCTTTTGAGTCAGAGACTCATTCTGTCTCCCAGGCTGGAGTGCGGTAACATGTTCATGTCTCATGGCAGCCTTGATTTACTGGGCTCAGTTGATCCTTCTACTTCAGTCTCCCAAGTAGATGGGTCTGTGGGCATGCACCATCGTGCCTGGTTTATTTTTTAATTCTTTTGTAGAGACAAGTTTTCACTATGTTGCCTAGGATGGTCTCTTACTCCTGGGTTCAAGCAGTCCTCTCACCTTGGCCTCCCAAAGTGTTGGGATTATAGGCATGAGCCACTGTGCCTGGCCAAGTATATTAAGTTTAGTTTTGAACTTTTCATTTAAAAAAAAAAGCTTAAAATATTATTTAATATGAAATTGCAGATGTAGCTATATAAGTTTACAGCCAAAAAAATCTAGTAGTTATTTCTTATTTTTACAGTTCTTTTAGTAGATAACATCTGTTGCAGTCTTTAGAAATATTACATATTATAATATTTATATAATAATTTTAAACAGTATTCTTCATGATTAGAAATAATGTTATTAATAGAAAAAAATCTGATGGGCATTGTTCTATAACTCCAAAAGTTATTTTAAGTTATGCTATTGTAAAAATAAAAGAGAATAAAATAAAGACCTTAATAAAATAAAATTATTTATGATATTTTCCAGTTTAAAAATGAAGTTGAAAATACTACTTTTTATAAAATGAACAAGTTATTTTCAGAACTGATAGACTTTTATTTTTAGGAAGCTTTTTGGACAAATTAGAAGATCAAATAGATACTGCTACTTTATATATCAGACAACAAGATATTAATTAATTTTCCTTAGAACCATATTTCTTTGTTGAAGAAACTGAGAAAATATAAAAACTGTAGTTGGTTAATTAATATAGAACATTTCTACAAAGCAAACATAGTAAGAGCATTAGCTATTTAATTTACAATATACAAAACCTTGCATTTATTCTGGAGTAATTGAATACAGCAAAGTTTCAAACAAAATCATAGAAAATGAAATAAAAAGGAGTTAAATAATGGAGCTGCATCTTTTAAAATAACGGGTATGACTGGAAAATGTGAACAGAACAAAAACATTGTGGTTGCTTTTATGGGCTTATTTTTCATTGAAGCTAACTGTCAAATGAGTCAATGGTGAGGGTTTTGTAAAAACAAAAAACAAAAACAAAAAATCAGAATATAATACAACTTTACAAATTGGTAGCTTTAAGACAGCTCAACAGAGCCTTTGAGATAAAATTCCTAAAAACAATAACCAAAGAGATCAATGAAATGAATTGATTTAGGGCATTCAGACGTATTTAAACTGACCATGGGACAAACTGAGATCATGTCATTTATAGATGATAGTTTGGTTCTAAAGGTTTAAACGTTCATTCTTGCTTACATGTCTCATCATTTAGAAAAAGACAAACAGCGTACTTACATATCTTCAAGGAAACCTATATTGTTCATTTTAAAGTATAATCAGGTCATTCCATAACATTTGAAAAAAAAGTCATTCCATAATCACTTATTCCTCACTATCATTGATTTAGTAACTAATTTGATTATTTTCCTATACATACTTCCATTGAAAGACAATAATTATTGAAGCAACAGAAACGTTTCAGGAAAAGACATGTCTGTGATTGGCCAGTCATGACAGGGACCTCAAGCAGGATGTTCAAGTCCCCATACAATTAAAAAAAAAAAAAAAAAGTGAAGCATAGGAATTTTTTCTTTTTAAGTAGGCACTCAGATAAAGCAAATACTTCTCACTTAAATAATGATGTTAAGTTAGTAAAACAGTAAATAAAAGCAGAAATTAGAAAAAGAAAACCAAAATTGCTCTGACAACATTAAAAACAATAAAAGTATACAAACTCTGAGGGAAAGGGCACGTACACTTACAGTTGTTGTGTAAGCAGCTTCTGGATCATCCTCCAGCACTCGGGAGAGACCAAAGTCAGAAACTTTGCATACCAAGTTGCTATTGACTAATATATTCCGAGCTGCTAGGTCCCGATGGACGTAACCCATGTCAGAAAGATACTTCATGCCCGATGCGATGCCTCGGAGCATCCCGACCAACTGGATCACTGTGAAGTGGCCATCATGTTTCTGCAAGAGAATCACAATGGTTTAAATTGACTGATTTATGCCGTGTGTGGGTATTAAATAAGACCCTTAAATTTATTTTTCTGGATCCAATGAAGACAGACAAGAATCAAGTTTGGTGACTGCTGACTATGTTCATAAAGAAATGCAGGAATTTATTTCACATTTAAAAGAAATGCACAATCTAGCTGGAAGTGGTAAAAGAGACCTAAATAAAAGAAGGGCACCAGCTAAATTAACTTCCAGGAAAAAATGATTTCAAAAACATAGGTAAGAGGAGAAATCTAAAGTCAAAAAACTAAGAGTGAAAGTAAGTGGAATCCATTTTCAATAGCTGTGAGCTTTGGACCAGCCGTACAGGTGGGTGGGAGGGCAGCAAAGCCGAGGACTGGACAAAACCTGTGTAGAAATACTGTGAGAAATGGTTGCAAGTCAGGTCGCACAGGAAAAACATAAAACAAAATAAAACAAGTTTAGGAAAAGTACTTGAGGAAAAAACAAACAAACACATGCACACACAAAAACTAGATTTTTAAATTATTTTACTATATAGGGAAACCAGAAAAGTTTTTGACAATTGACTGAAAATAAGACTATTTCAGCTCCTGGTGGGGAGGATTAAATGAAATAATGTGAAAAATGAGCCAGGAAGGGTATTGATATATAGTAATCAGTCCCATCTTATTCCCTCCACTTTGATTGCAAAACAATGTATTTTTTTTAAAGAGCTAAAAAAAAATCCAATTATCTTCTGCATAAAATGCATGTACCAACAAGACCAGATACAAATGGTATCCTTGGAATTAGAGAAAATAAAAATATTTTAAGTTTGAAAAATAATGCATTTTGTTCTACTTAGTTATTTGGAGATTGTTGTCTTTAATGGAGTTATAGAAAAACATGAAAAAATTCTCAAGTTGTTTTTATACATCAGGCAAAATTTATTTATGAATGATAATACAAATGAATAACAGGAGACTATAGGACTGTATTACCTTATGATGCATGTTAGAAGCACAAATAAGAGTCACTTAAGAACTTCCCAAGTTAAAGCAGTGTTCATGAATACGTATTTGACTTCAAATCATAGTGCAGCTTAAGCACAGAGATGATCTGACCATAGCTGTCCTAGTGACACAGCCTCTGATACAATGATGATTCATTGTTCAGATAAATGAATAAGTTTATACTACAAATGAAATAAACTTTGTCTTACTATATCAACTTATCTTCCTGATAGCTCTCTGATAACATCTCTCAGCTCAAGTGCAGAGTAAGGAAAAGAACCTTCTCTTAAAAAAACACTCTTATAGCAAGAATAGCCATTTAAGCAGGCTCTTCTGTATAATTAATGTATAAAAGATAACCTAGCAAAGAGAGTCTTTGGTGTTATTAGCTCTTTATGTTTCTAATCCATCTTCTTAGACAGCATACTATTAGATTAAATCTGTCTCTTCTAACATGCACCCTACCTACAACTCTTCTATTAAGAATCTCAAAACTTTTGAGTGAATTAAAAGCATAAATTCTTTTGGCTTGGAATGAATTACACTTAAATTTAAATGGTGGCTCTTTTACCTTTTCAAAAATATAGCTGCCTCCTATCATAGTTCTTGTCAAGTAGAATCTCTAAATAGTAGGAAACGTTAATGGACCACCTGAAAACTAAAAGGTGTCCTATCTGTACAATGGAAATGTGCAACCTTTCAGGGTTGGCCCAATTTGAGGAAAAAAGACTGGATCCTTGTCCTCCCATATTCACTCAGTAATTGGATTCAGGCTGCCACTGTAAAGAGGTCATAGCCTCGGGTGCCGTGGCTTTCTTCAGTCAAGGGCATTTTTTTAGATGTTGGGATAATCACATATGAAGCACACAGCACAGCTCCTGACTTATTTTATGAGTCATTTTAATAGTCATTATTTAATAAATCCTTGTTGTTATTATTATTGTACATAGTTTTTTTGCAATTTAATGAGTCAGAAAATCCTCTTCTTACTTTCCTGAAAATTCAATTCTCAATGTAAGTTCCTATATACATAAAGAGAAATAGTTACTGAAGACCAGGTTGAAATTTACTTCCTATCTACCCTGACTGAAGCACAAAACACCAAGCTTACTTTTTAACTGTTTTATTGAGATATAATTCATATATCATACAATTTGCCTTTTAAAAGTACAAGTTCAGTTTTTTAATATATTCATAGAATTGTGCAACCATCACCAAAATCAATTTGGGAACATTTTTATCATCCTCCCCAAAAAGTGCATACTTACTGGCAATCACTCCCCACTTCCCTCAACTCTCTCTAAGGCACCCACAAGTCTATTTTCTTTTTTTTTTTTTTGAGTTGGAGTCTCACTCGGTCGCCCAGACTGGAGTGCAGTGGCCGCTCCTGGCCACCGCAGCCTCACCTGCTGGGCTCCGGCGATCCTTCCACCTCAGCCTTCTGATTAGCCAGAATTACAGGCATGCGCTACCACGCCCGGCTGATTTTTTGATTTATTGTAGAGATGAGGTCTCTCTGCTCAGGCGGGCCTCGAACCCGCGGGCTCAGGCAATCCACTCACCTCAGCCTCCCAAAGGCGCGGGATTACAGGCTGAGCCACCGAGCCCGGCTCACAAGTCTATTTTCTATCTTCATAGAGTTGCCTATTCTGGGTATCTCTTAAATGGAATCATACAATATGTGGTGTTTTGTAACTCCTTGCACTTAGTGCAATATTTTCAAGGTTCATTCACACTGTAGCACATATCAGTACTTCATTCTTTTTATTGTGGGATAATTTTCTATTCCTTTTGTTTATTTATTCATCAGTTAGTGAATATCTGAGTTAATTCTAATTTTTGGCTATATAGTAGGTTATTTTTAAAGTTAATTTTAAAGAATATTGTCATCAACATTTGAAGAGACCTGGGATAACTGTTTTCATATCAACCACAAGGCAATCAGGGTTCTAATAACGTTGTGGTAGCATTAAAAAAAAAAAAAAGATTTTGGTGTGTGAAAAGAATCTAAACTACTCTTTCCATAGTATGTCCCAGGAGTGTACACTGCAGTATATTTATTTCTAATTCACTTGGCCAAGACTTTTACACAGACCCGTGAAGTCAAAACTATTTTTTGCACTAAGTCGTGCATCTGACTTTTTTTCACTAGGTTGATATTTGCACCAATGGTACGAAACTCTGATGGGTATAACTGCAGAAGCCTTAACAGGAGTCGAGGCAGAAGCACCCAAGGCCAAATTGTAGTTGGAGTCCCATATTCTTCTCAGTCACATGCACTCACAGACAGAAATAAAAAGGCAGTTTCTCTTAAAAATATCCTTGGTGAAGCAGTAAAACGTATTAATTTCATTAAGTCTTGATCCCTGGTTACACAGTCTCAGGATCAAACCCCCCCCCACCCCCGTGAGAAAGAGAAGAAAGCAGGATTGAGCAGCAGCAGGGATTAAAGTGCCACACATTCACCACAAAGGCCTTCCTTTGTCCCATGGGATGTTCTGGGTCTGAGTTAACTTTTCAGGGTTGGCCCAATTTGAGGAAAAAAGACTGGATCCATTATCAATCAATCATTGGATTCAGGCTGCCCTGTAAAGAGGTCATGGCCACGGGTGCCATGGCTTTCTCCAGTCAAGGTCATTTCTTAGGGAGGGACTCAACTAAGAGCTGTCAGTGTACAAGACACCAGAAGCTGTAGGAAAATGGGAGTTGATCCTGAGAGCTCTCCTAATAAAGTTCCTGCATGTGAATCCCTTTCCCAGGGAACCCAACTCGTGACAGCTATCTATCTCTCTATTTCTGTCAATCGTCTACCTACCTACATCTATCTACTATCATCCATCATTCACCCAACCATCCATTCATTTAAAGGTACTTGATGGAACAAAAGCTCCAAAAATAGTTCTGTATTCTTTTGGGAACGCATATCTCCATTTCTGCCACACTTTTTTAAGAAAAAAATGACTAACATTCATTAAACACTATGAACCAGTCACAGTCTAGGCTCTCTGCAGGCATTATCTCACTTAATCCTCCAAATAATGGTTTGAGGTACGTGTAGTTATCATCATCATCTTGTAGATGACCAGACTGAATGACAAAGAGATGTAATAACCTAGTAAATGGTGAAGACAGGATTTGAATACAGGTAATCTAATTCCAGAACCTGCATTTTTATCTAATGAAGTTGTTGGAAAAAGAGTTGGACCAAACTTCACCTCACTCTGGGCTAGATTGAACAGCAAAATTGGGCATAATAAAGCAATGTCTAGAAAACCTCTGAGACCAATAATATATGTCTGCCTGAGATGAACAGCCCTATTTATTCCTACATGAGTATGTTACATATCTATGTCTCTACAGATGATTTTGTTTTATTCAAATAAAATCTGTGTTTTCTTTCCCAGTCCTTGTCAGTATAACTTCTGTAAGTTTGGTTTAGGACATACTGGTTTCCTTGAATATGGTAGATGGTTAATAAACAGTGACCATATTAAATAACCTTTGATACTATCTTGTAGTATACTAATTGCTATTGCTATATATTCCTATTGTCTTTATAAGATCGTTTTCTTTCTTAAGGTAGGATATGGCCTTCATTCCCTTTATGTAACAGCTACATTATAGCATCCACTACACAGCCATCCATTGTGTCAATGTGTGGCAAATATTAATTCAAATTGAATTGTTTATGAGGGGAGGAGAAAAATGTGAGAGCACTGAAATTTAATATCTTTGGGCTTCCTACTGAAGATTAATCAAAACGAAACTATGAATTTTTTCTATGACATATGGTTTCTTCCCAGGAAGGCAGAATCAAATGAAAAAGAGTGAATGTGGCATGTTTACACACTGCATCTCGTAGCATAGTAGCTGGAATTCAGTTTGTCTTCATCCTTCTTTTTGCTCTCTCAGTCTGACTGCTAAGAAACAAGGCGTTTACCCTCTAACTGACAGAAAGGGCGAGGCTGACTGGAAGGCATTTCTGAAAGCTATACA